TGCCCAGAGTAGAGTCGTGTACGTTGATATATCTTATATCTTGCTAAAGTTGATTATTGTGGGCCCTCTGTTGACCTGCTTTTTTATACATTAAAATAAAGTACGATTGTTTATGGATGGTCTGTCACTTTCACTTTTTATCTGTTCGGTCATGCCTACAGAGATAAGTGCACGTGGAAAGGTAGGTCTTATAATTTTTTTTTCTTTTTGTGGGTGTACTCGTGAATAACTGATTAATTTAGGTCTGCAATGAATGTGAGTAAAATAGATTTTATTATCAGGCAATAATTAGTTAAACTAGCCTACATACTACCTAAGTACATGACTTTGAGATAAGAAAGTAGAAAGAAGATAGGCCTAGACCGTAGTAGGTATTAGTGAAGTTGGGCTTATTGATTGATTGAAGTTGGCCAGGAGGAAAGGACCTAGCTCTTGTGGGCGCTAATGCATAAGTTCACCTCCTCCTCAAAATCAAACTTAACCCAGACATAGGTCGAGGTAAGGCCTACAGTAAAACAGTTGTTGTTGTTGACAGTTGTTGTTTATACCTAGGAGCTTAATGCTTTTTGCGGTATCCGATCATTTCGGTCGTGCCTTCATTTCGGTCGCGCTATTTTCGTTATGCATTTCGGTCGCGGTGTATGGAGCGGCGACGGTGCGACCGCAAATCTGGAACAAGGGAGCTAAGCAGTATAAAGTATTTTTATAAACACAAAACTTACATAAAACATTAGTTGACTAACAATTATTGTATTACTGTACTATAATATTATAGTTTATGATTATTAATTTGATGTGTATCACTTGGTGTTATTTTTCTTTTTTACAGAAACAACGAAAATGTTACAAAGTCAACTTGGTTTTGAGACAAGTTTCTCTTTAACATTTTGCGATATATATTTTATTAATGCATAAATTGAATGGAGATTTATGAAATAAATATAGTCAATAGATATATTTTTTCATACATTTCTTTTTCTTGTCTGTTACGTTTCCATTTATCTTGAATGTTCTGATCATGTTTATAATTTGATAAATGAACATAATGATATATGATGAATGCAAATGAAAGAAATATATAGTATTTTCATATTTATTTTCCACATAAAATTTTCAATATATTTATAATTAAACACGGTACATTTTAATGGCCCATTTCAGGCTTCTTTTATATTTATAAGCCCGACAAAATTACTCTTTCTAGTCATATTCTACAGTTGCACTAGAATTTAATTTCCCACAAACTAGATTCGCATGGTACTCTTGAGGTGAAGCAGCACAAGGTTTTTATTTTCTTGTTTGTTTTATTTCCATTTTTTATACTTATTCTGATGTTTATAAAATACATAGTAAAATGCAGTTTTAATATATAATTTTAAATACATGTTAATAGCCATTCCACGGTTTCTGGCTTCCTTCTAAAGCTAGAAAAATTCGCTACTTCAAGGCCTCCTGTTCTTGCCTGGTAACTAACCATAAAATCGGAAAGAAACATTCCAACAACCAAGGTTCCCACGGTGCTCATGAGGGTGAGAAGGCATATTCTTTGTACGCCGCATTCAGGAATGTGAACGCATTACACTGCAAAGACAGAAGTAGATCAGATGCTAAAAATAGATAACTAGCTATTTTTCGCAGGTTGTGACAGTGAAGGTGTTAAAGTGCGTTCACCTACTTCATGTTGCCATTAACTTCGAGTCATCAATCTGATGATCATATTTGTAAAAAAAAAATACATGAATTGTAAAATACTGTAGTTTAAATGGAATGTACATATACATATATTTTAATATTCTGATATAAAAGTATATTTGATTAAACAAAGTAAATCATAATCGTAACAACATTCCTAGGCCATTATTATAAATAATTCATAAAATTGATAAATATAAATATGTACTTGATTTTTCACTTCTGAATCTGTAAGAAGAAAAAGAACACGCTAAAATTATATTCTTATTATATTACTTTCCAAATGTAAATCACTAGTGCGTACATCGGCGTTCCATACTGAGGCTGTTTATCGCGACCGAAATGCATAACAATACAGCGCGACTGAAATGATCTGTATTCCCTTTTGCTGAAGCATTGAGGCTCGTGGCCTGGATCCCGCCTGGACTCCAACCTACTATATACTAAATACAGCATAGCTCAGTTAGAGGCCTGTTTTCCAAGGCGCTATAACTACTAGGTTAGGCCTCAGGTCTTAATATGTCATTTTTAAATTTAATTTGCTTTGCACCTGTTGACGCTTTCTCTCGCTGGAATTTATACAGTTTCTTATCATGATTTAAGATTTCAGTGGCAAGTTGAATAAAATAAAATAAGAGTAACAACAACAAATTTGGGAAATATTGATGCAGGAATAACAGCATTTTTTTTTTGCCACATCATTTACAGTATTTCAACAGTAGCCTATAAAAACAATGCAATTTTGTGACTGGGAATATATTTTCTCTAAAAAACAATAAAATGAAACCAGTTTTTATTTTATACAATATTTGTAATATTCTAGCCAAATAAAAACAGTCCCTCCCTCATCGATAATTGCACTACAATTGCACTTTGCTAGTAGGAATTTTAGTGAATCATGTCAAAACAGCAATAAACCAAAACAGCAATACCGTATATGCTTGAATGAGTGCCGCTCTCAAATAAGCACCGCTATAGTATAACTACCGCACCAAACCTGATTTTTTTCACCAAGTGCCAAACTTAACCAAAATGACAATAAGTTTAAATCCATGCTTCCCAAACTATGGGTCACGACCCAAAAATGGGTCGTCAAACTATCACTTGAATAAGTATGTTAAATACGTCATAAATACATCCATTAGAAACTATACCAAAATAAATGATAATAAAAGATGATTATTATTAAATTATTATATGAATAAAAACATACAATTAAACAAATCCTTAATTTGAAGTGATTAACGAATAAATAGGTTAATAATGTTTTATATTCGTTTTGTACATCTTATGACTAGATATTGTTTGGTGCTCATAGTTTTATATCCTAGTTATCTTTTATTTATTACTCTATATTTTGTTAACACTTGTAAATGCCAGTGGAATGTAATTTCTGGGTTTTTCAGACAATACAATTATCTTGAATCGTACAGTATGCCTTAGCCTTGATCTATGCACAGATGATAATGCATTGGTTAATGATCTTTTGCTATTTTGGTAGTGGATCTATTGCCGTTGTAGTACTTGTCATTGCATTTTTGGTTTAGGCCAAAAAAAATAATTTTTGTGTTGGCCATGTTTTGTGAAAATAAAAAAAAATTGGTAGGTCGGTAGGAAAACTTTTTTTTTTATCAACCAAAATGTGTACTGTACCTATACACCTAAAAAGTAGAGAAAACACGAATAATACAACAATTTTGATTCTCTTCACGTACCATCCAGCAGAATAGTCTAGGCCTTGGCCCCTAGTCTGGTCAATGTTATTCCAGCCTTATTTGCTTATAAAAAATATTGTTTGTTGTAGTAAAAAAAAAAAAATTATTAAATAAAATGGCGACCCTGAATTTCATAAAATCTGGGTTGGTTGGGCGTGGCCAACACAATAATTTTTTTTATTTGGCCTTATTGCTGTTCTGGTTATTGCCGTCATTTTTTTTATTGCCATTTTAACTAGAAGAAATACATTTTAATCTTCCAGGCTAAAACAGGGTTAAAGCAGTAGGCCTACAGTATTACACATTTTATTAAATTATGGAAGCGTTTCAGCATTGGATGCATCACTCTTCGTCAATTGACAAACGCAATTTACACTCCAATTTCACTAGTGTCTTCGTAAATCATAAAGGGCAAGCTAATGTTTGTCAATTAACACTACAGTATGCCTTATATGGATCAGTATTGGCTGTCTGTGGGTCGTAAGACTGTTTATGCGCTAACCTGCACCACAGCCTTTGCAAGAAAGGAAAGATGTTGAAAATGGCATTGTTAAGAAGTCTGAAGATAAATTGTGCATCAACAAAACATAAACTCTAGTGTGCTGAATGATCCATTACTAAAGGAGCCTGTAAAAAGTGGCAAAACAGTAGAATTACCAGAAGAGAAACCAACAACAAAGGATGAAAATTTAAAAGTTAAACCTTTGACTGTTTTCTCAAGTATTGTATCCTTTTCAGCGGATTCATGATGTTTTTCTATCTTTGCGATTCGCAACATATTCCCTGATGGTGAACGTGTGTACTCGAGAGATCTGTTTGTATTCTTATGATTTCTGTTGTTTGCTGTGGCCTGTTACTTCACAATCAAAAACGAAGACAAAATTTTAAACAGGTATGTTTAAAAAAACATTTTGTTTTCTGGTCTGAACTTTACAGCAGGGTGTTTAGCAGAAAAAGTGCTTAGCCATTTGACATGTTTAGTATTAAAGTGTTTAGGTATTTGATATGTTTGAAGTCTAAACACACAGCTCCACACTTACTTGTCCCGACTTTTGGAACACATTTAAAGCTAAACATGTTTATCATGTTCTTGTTTTCTACTCATCAAATAGCAACAAGCAGATTCAGCACCAGTCACACCAAGGCTATGGTAATTGATCATTCTTTACAAAAATACATTTCGTGCAGCATTAACACAGGGAGGACTTGGGCAAAAGCAAACATTATACAGTAAAACCCCTCAATTACGTACTTCACAGGGCCCGAGCCATTCGTAATTAAAAATATTGCTGTTAATAGAGAAAGAATTAACAAAATAAGACCTCAGACTTACAAAACATTAGACCAATGGAAACTTGGACACTACACAAACCTGGACCCCCAACAAGATCAATGGAAACTATTATACCTGTATAATAATACGTTTATTTGTAATTGTATGCTATATTTAGGATATTTCTGAAAGAAAAATAGACGAACAATATAGTTATAAAAAATAATTAAATGGTCACTGAGCCAGGCTAGACCTATACGGTAGTCATTCAAAATCGTGTACAACATATTTGAAAAAAAGTATGTTTCCAAATTATTTGTATTGCATTGTACCGTGGTACGAAGCTTACGTAAACATAGATGAAGAAAATAGCGTTGAATTAATTCAAAGAATACTAAACTGTTTCATGACTTCTTGTTGGAAAATAATCCTTTTGCCCTCTGGCAGTGAAGTAGATCAGACATGAATTCATGATGCAGATTGCGGTTGAATACGTCAAGAAACTAGTCGTGGTTATTGAAACTTTTGATAATATTGACACAATAGAACAATCATTGTCCTATTTTTGGCCATGTTCAGATCTAAAATGTATTGATGTATATTCACATGACGTCATTAAAATTGTGTACAAAATAGTTAAACAACTCTAAAATATCAAACAATAACGTACGTACTGATATTACAATGGCTTTAGAAATATATTTTGAAAAGTAATTTTGTAGAGCATAGCACTGTGGTAAGGACAATATTTAGTAAACACCCTATTTTCTTCCTCTATGGTAAATACCTGAATGAAGAAAATAACTTTAAAGTAATTCAAAAGGTACAAAGCGGTTCATAGCTATACAGCCGTTAACACTATATACTATTATTAAATTATACATAAATCATCAAAGAAAGTTAAATAAAGTGTTTGGATTAAGGACATGATAGTACATTATATACTTTAGCATAGCTCTCAACGAATGTTGTCCTATAAAAATATGTTGTGTAATAAATGCCTCGGACTCTGTTAGAATAAGATTCCATTGCACAAATGTCAGGGGCGGATCCAGAAATTTTCTGACGGGTAGGGCCCAATAGGGGAGTAATCACACCCACCTCAACCCCACCATGGTTGGGACTGAGGTGAGCAAATTTTAAGAATAAGCCCCTCTAGACGCTCAGAAATGGGACTCTTAGATGGTAAAAATGCTTTTTCAAAGCAGTGTTCCTCTTTGAAAATTATTTACTTCTTCCCGACGGGAGCTACTATATGCTCCCCTCCCTTAGACAACCCTCCCCTGACGGGCATTGCAAAATGATTATGGCACCTCTAGATGCCCAAAAAAGGCAGAAATCAACAAATCATTCAACCCCCCCCCCCCCCCCCCCCCCCCCCCCCTGATGGCCTAAAGAATGAGATAAAATTACCTGACTTTTTTCAAGAGGGGGAAAACCTTGAATTTTATAGAACTTAAAAGTCATTAAAAGACTCCTCAGAAGTCAGGAAAGCTCATTTCCAAACATCTAAGAATCAAAATTTTCCAGGGGGAGGACCCCCGGACATTCCTTTCATTTTTGGGTTTTTTTGGAAACATTTTAAACCACCCTCTTTAAAATCCTGGATCTGCGATCATATGCTAAACACGTTTAACACGTGTTTAAGTGCTCCACTCTGTTTTTACAGTGCAGAATGATTATTTAAATTATACTTCTGGGCGAATCCATATGGAATGATCATCGTCGACATACAATCCTCTTACCACCCTTGACATGTTTGAGTACTTTAAAAAAAAAAAAAAACAGTAAACAGTCAGCAGATTTTTTTTTTTATGGGGGATGGGGGGGGGCTGGAGAGTGTAATTTTTGAGCATAATATTATTTAAGTCTTTCAAAATATGGGAGGGTGACAAGACAGAAGACGGTTTCCCCAAGTCATTTAAAATGTTATTTGTACAAGAGTTCTAAACCCCTTCCTGCAAATGTCTGAACCCACCCCAATATATCTCAGCCTTGCGAAAGGTTTTATCAAATGGAATAACAATTAAAGAGTGACCATGTTAATCACTAAAATAAGTCAATACGTGAGGAATAAGGAATGTCACATTCATCACAACGTTTTAGCATATATGTTATGTATAATCATGGAAATATAAAATTGTATATACCTCCATGGTATAATCCATTTTTTTTACTGTATTATTCTTTTAGGAGTGCTGCTTTTCTCAATATTACAGTACTGTATAATCCACATTATTGGCAGCATAGGCTTATTATTTAGGACGGCCACTTTTACCGTGACGGCTTGGAAAGCTTGGACTAATCAGCTCTGCCTAGCCTAATTGGGCCTGGTCTACCTTTAGCAAATTATTTATATTTGTCAAATCTATCGAATGTTATTGTTACACTAAACTAAAGCTAAATCATATTTACGTTTGATAAAAACAACATTTATTGATTGAATGGACGTTGTTTTCATACCAATACTCGGTGGGGATTAACCATTGTCTACCCGGTGAAAAGTTCACTTACAACATGTAAACATTTATACCCCGCTGGAAAATGGACGATTCTGAGTTGCCCACAACGCATGCACATATGCACGTGGCTCTGAAAATACAATAGTACTTGAGATTCGTTTCCCTGACATAATATTGTTGGTGTTCTGGTTATAATTAATTCATGAATACTGTAAAGATCTGTTGTTAACCTCACAAGTTAAATTTTATCAGCCAACAGAATACAGTAGGTCTAGTCCTATCTCTCGATTCGGAGGACCTAGAATAGAATTTACACTAGATTAAAGCGAGATATGAAGATACATCTGCATAGCCTATAAATACTGTAGCTGCGCAAACTGCATATACTGTATACACTACTGAAGTATCTTTGTGATAGCTAGTTCAACACTATTCCTTTGAAGACCGAAATTCCAACATGTAAACGCCCTTAAATACCCTCTAAAAGATCATAATTTTCTTTTTTTTCTTATGTTTAGGAGGGGGCATGGCCTCGAGTGGCTCAGAGCCACGCCCACTGGCTTTCATTTTGGATGGCCTATTTCATTTTTCTGTCTAAGCCCCTGGTTGGCAGAGACTTTATTTAAAGGGTAATTTGTCTTTCATTTGCAAAGGTCTTTCTAAAATGTAGTTATTCAGTATTATTGTTTACAGTGGTGGATTCAAAGGGGGAAGGGTTGGCAGCCAACCTGTCCCCCCCCCCTTCTAAATTTTTCAAAAACAGACATGAATTCATGATGCAGATTGCGGTTGAATACGTCAAGAAACTAGTCGTGGTTATTGAAACTTTTGAAAATATTGACACAATAGAACAATCATTGTCCTATTTTTGGCCATGTTCAGATCTAAAACGTATTGATGTATATTCACATGACGTCATTAAAATTGTGTACAAAATAGTTAAACAACTCTAAAATATCAAACAATAACGTACGTACTGATATTACAATGGCTTTAGAAATATATTTTGAAAAGTAATTTTGTAGAGCATAGCACTGTGGTAAGGACAATATTTAGTAAACACCCTATTTTCTTCCTCTATGGTAAATACCTGAATGAAGAAAATAACTTTAAAGTAATTCAAAAGGTACAAAGCGGTTCATAGCTATACAGCCGTTAACACTATATACTATTATTAAATTATACATAAATCATCAAAGAAAGTTAAATAAAGTGTTTGGATTAAGGACATGATAGTACATTATATACTTTAGCATAGCTCTCAACGAATGTTGTCCTATAAAAATATGTTGTGTAATAAATGCCTCGGACGCTGTTAGAATAAGATTCCATTGCACAAATGTCAGGGGCGGATCCAGAAATTTGCAAAGGTCTTTCTAAAATGTAGTTATTCAGTATTATTGTTTACAGTGGTGGATTCAAAGGGGGAAGGGGTGGCAGCCAGCCTGTCTCTCCCCCCCCCCCCCTTCTAAATTTTTCAAAAAATAAATTGAGAAAAATAGAAAATTCTATTCAAATTTGGAGTCTATGAGTGCCATTTCCAGCCGTCTAGGGGTACCATAATTATTTTTTTTTACCTCAGCCCCAACCATGGTTGGGCTGAAGTAGTATAGACCCTCCATCTGTAAAAGTCCTGGATCCACCACTGGTTTAGAATAATAATCTTGTATATGGCCGACTTGGCTTCACAGACTGATTATCTAATGATAATTGGGCGGATCAAGAGGGGGTGATGTTCGGCGACAGTCTCTAAAAAGATGGGAAGGATGACAAGAAAGAAGTCATTTAATACAAGAGTGCCTTTTTTTATTTCTGTATTCCTCCTGCAAATATGTGGGCCTGCCCTCAGTGCTTATAGCCTCGCAAAAGACTGTCGAAGGCGGCCTTTGTGTGAGTCCCGATAAGACAAAGAATATTAATTATGACAAATAACAATCACCCACTATATCAAGAGTATAATTGGTTAAAATCTGGCAAGCATCTACGCAGCACTCAATGTAAAACTAACCGGTATTTTAATTTGTTTGTTCCTTTCTCCATCAGATTACATAACAATAAATAAATATTTAAGATACAGTAATTACCAACTACAGTAGTAAAAAAACACCATAAATGTCAACAAAGGTTTTATTGTATAATCCCTATTAAATGGATTTGTGTAAGGCATTTTCCCAGGTAATATTCTCTCCTCATCACCCCTTATTTGCCAATAATGATACTGTACAGTAGTAACTTTTGCATGTAGTTAACTTCACTGGTGATAAATAATGATGATAATCAATTTTTGAGAAAATCTTATTGTTCCCATTGAGATATGAACCCAAGAGCTTCCGATTACCATTCGGATGCTCTACCAACTGAGTCATGAGGCCATTGGTACTGTACACCCTTGATTTTCCCATTAGGGCATTTTTTTGTATGGTATTGCATAATACTTTATTTTACTGATATGATTTTAGTAAAAAATTAAAACATTAATTTTTAGGCAAGACCTAGTGCGACTATTGTACAGAATAGTATTGAGAAGCGTGTTGATTTTATTTTAGGGTATTTTACATAATACTAATTCTATATTTGGCTTAGGGTAATTTTCAACTGTAGGTATTTGATTCACATCACTAATCACACTGGTTCAAACAGGTTTAAACACAAAAAATGTATTACAGCATTGTTTACGAACGAACGTATATAACAACCCAAATCATTGCTTGAATGGCATAGAAATGAAAGAAACAAACTGTACAGCCCTGTAGTGAGTATCCTTCTGTGTTATATTTAAAATTTACTACTAGTACTAGAAGGCCTAGAGTAGAGGCCTGCAAACTAGGGCTTGTCTCCAGACTAATTAATTGGCCTAGGCCTATCATATAGCTAAAAATTACAGTTTTAGCTCTACTTACAGTAGCTCTATTTCTGTGCACACTAAATAGGTGCTCAGTAGATTTTCTTATGTTGTCTACTAAAGATTTTGATAAATATTTTATGTCTGTTTCTTGACTATAATATTGCTAGTTGATAATAGGCATCATGTTACAAAACATATTGGTGTTATCCGACGCATTAAATATTTTCATCCATCCCATACACTAAAAATAGGCTCCCAGCGGGAGCGTGTGTCTACTGCCTTATACAGGAGTTGTTGTTTTTTTTAAACTTTATATGTTCTTCAATATGCAGATGTGTGTATAATTATTGTAGTGTATCTGGATTTTTCATGAAAATTTTCTTCCATAACAATATTTTGTATAGGCCTACTACTATATTACACTAAAAACATTTAAAAAATGAGTACTTCTTGGAGTTACCACGTTATGTCGTTGATCACGAAGAGTATACTACCATGTTCTGGAGTGCGTCCTTCAAATGACAGTAAAAGGCGTTCGTGGCGAATGCATGCTGCATCTCTATTAACGCATGTTCAAGTTTCATACGCAATTTTGTTCCGCCCCCTACCTCATGGTAGTAGTACCCATCATGCCTAAGCCGGATTTACCCTTTTCTGCCATCTTTAAGTACATCATGACATAGTGTAAAAATGTTAACTCATGCTCTTGTATTTCCTCTTTTTGATTATTGTTGCTGTGTTTGGTCCAACTGTAGTATTGAAAAAGCCAATTGTTTACAAGTGCTTATGAATCGATGCGGTAGAATTTTGCTTTCAGTAGATATAATCTTGGCTGGAGAAGACTCAATGCTAGTTGGGATGAAAAATTACATATCATGATTTTCAAATGTTTAAGAGGTTATGCTCCTCAATATTTGACATCAAATTTTATCTTCAACAATAGTACCCATATTAAAGGAACACGTAGTCAAACAAATAACAATCTAGTCATCCAAACTTGGAATAACAGTCAAGGAAAATGGACTTTTCTTTACCGGGCAACAAAAATGTGGAGTGAACTTCCTAAGGAATTAAAAATTTACTTTCAAAATATGTTGATACATTCATTCCAAAACAGTATTACTACATAAATGTATTTCATTGACTCTTCTCTTGCTTGGTTTTTATTTTTTGTGTGTTTTTATATATTTACATTCTTTTTATTTTTGTTAAACAATTCTTTATTGTATATATTTTTGTTATGTTTAAACTGTATCACTTTGAAAATCAGTGTAATAGTACTGAAAGTGTCTACAGTATAAAGAAAGAATATAATAAAAATAAATAAATATTGTAGTTGTTGTAGTCCTATTAGATCAATGAGCTATAAAGCTATTGGTAATATTGTGGTAATACGTGTTCCTACATATTTTAGTAGGTGATAGATTTAACACTGTAGATTGTTAGTAGTGTCTATCTAAGTGTGCGTGCATTTGGGTTTGTTTTTGTGGAGTTCATCATGGGATAAATTAGGAAACGGCCATATTCAGTTCTAGCATGAAGGGTGCTAAACGTAGACTGCCTGCTGATATCCGCTGATAATCCAACGCTACAAATTGCAATTTTTTTGGAGGAGCAAATGCAGCATGCGTTAGTAGCAGGGAGCTTTTTTTTTTATCACTCAACCTTTGATTGTTTCAGCATGCGCCAGACATAAGGTCTGTTTATATTTTCATGGTTCCTACTTCTTTTACAGCTTTTTTCCAAAAACAAAACTGAAAAGTTTGATAAAATAAATTACTTCAACTGAGGGCTAGCCTAGAATCCAGATTGTTACCTTATTACATACGTCCGCCACATGCATAATTGATCGTGGCACCAGTGCTTATTCGTTTAACAATGGTAGTAATTTTAAACTACAATGGTCAAACGAATGAAAATGTATTCATGGTTTATATGCCCAAAATGCACATCTGTGATTTATTGGGAGGTTGCAATGTGTGCTTTATTATTGTTGTAGCTTCTTCGGTAATTTCATTACTTGATTTGAGACAACAACATTATACAATTATTAATTAAAAAAGTGTGTGGTGATGCAAGGGTCCAGGGTAACTTGATAGAAACTCATCATTTGCGTAATACCTAGTCTTTACGTCCAAGGTTAATGGTTTTTTTGGAAGCTGAGTTCAGCACGAACCAGTAGACCACCCGTGGATACAATACCAGTAAGAACCCTATGTAACTTTTTCCTGTTTTCGCCCGAATACAAAATGGTACTATAGGTTTGGCAGTTTATATTACCATGCTCTTTTTGATATACAGTAGAACCTCGTTTTTACGTATCCCAGTTATACGAACTAATACACTAAACACATGGTTTTATTTGAACACTTTATTATGACATCATAAAGTGATGAATAAAAACACTAAACACATGATTTTATTCGTAGGCCTAGGCTGATAGAGGCTAGGTCTAGCCTAGGTATCATTGTTCGTTCATATATATGTTTATTGAGCATTATGTACGTATTAGGTCAAAGGTTACCACAAATTTAACCCAACCTCTATTTTACGAATCCCCCGATTTACGTACGCCCTCTGTAAAATCGTGGTTCTACTGTAGTGCTAAATCTACTAAGGTGTTTTTTTTTGTTGCTATGGGCGACAGGCTGTTGTCTGTTTTTCGCTGCAGTTTGTGATCTGGAATTTTGTCTGGAGGAGTAGATTGATGATTGGTGCATAGGCCGCACCCCAAATTTTGAAATTGATTTTCATTGTACTTTAGATCTATTTAATAGGTTGGTGATGCTGTACCATGGAGAGAGGGAATGGTTTGGTTTCTAAACCTTAAGGTTAGGGTTTCAATCCCTCTCTGTACATTTCATTTGTGTCCTTGAGCAAGGCACTTTATCTGCATTGCTTCTCTCCACCCAAGAGTATAAATGGGTATCAGGAGGGGTTGCCTGCTCCTGCACTGATTACCAGCAGCAACATTTAAGCATGGGGACCCAGTGACCAGGGAAAAGAAGCGCTTTTCTATCTACAAAGAAAAGGCGCTATATAAAAATATAAGTAATAATATTAAATAATATGTGTCCAACAAATGACAATGGAATTCATTGTGCTTTAGATACTGAAGGTAGACACTACAAAAAATCTTTGCTTACACTTCCAGCAATCTATTTAAATATTGACAATAAGTATGTCAGTAATAGATAGCTAATAGGTGTTCACTAGTAGACATTGGTAGATTTGGCTTCACAAAATATGTTATTGAGTTAATTATTATCTACTCTAATTGATTATGCTAAATTTACTAAGGTGCACCCCAAATTTTGATATTGAAATCGCATATGAAATTTGCGGTTTATACCCCAGAATATACAGTTATTGTCTTACCAATTGTCAGTTAAAAATACCATTTCATCTTTCTTCCAGTGCAGAAACCATGAGAACCAAACCAGTCACCATGGATACACATGGAAACAAGAACTTTAACAAGCTGGCATTTATTCTTCTTAATATTGTCACTAAACATCTCAGAAACATTTTCAGACAGGAATGGGACACCCAACATCCAAGCTACCCCTGGCAAAATGACAACAACAGTCTCCAGTACCTCAAAGCAAAAGCCAAAAAACCTGGTTCTTGGAAGAGTTGGAAGAATCCCCCAAAGTCAGGTGACCCAGATGACTGGGACCTAACTGTCTTATTCTATGTGCTTCTAAATTCTAACACCATCAATCTTTCAGTATCAAGTCATGAACAAATCGATAAACTACGAAAAATAAGAAATCAGTACTTTGCGCACCCTCCTAGAGCATCGATAAATGACAAGGACTTCAAAGACATTTATCAAGATATTAAGAAGTGCATGATCAGTCTAAATTGTTCCAAAGCTGTGCAAAAACAAATGGAAGATGTAAAAAATGAAATTGTGGAAGTATCCAAAGAATACATGAAGAAAGTGGAAGCAAAACTGTATGTAATTGAAAGTGATCACAACAGGCTTCATATGCAACTTTGTATGTTATTTCTTTTGGTTGTTATGATATTTTACTTACATCTAAGCTATGGCCACATAGATTGGTTTACAAGAACAACATGTAATAACTCTAGAATTTTCTTCCCTGAGTCTCGGAAGCCTAGCTATTACATAGGCCATGATGATGAAGTAAACACAGGTGCAATTGTTCTGGCCAATGGTTCTTACCAGATGGTCAGCATTACCGGTCCACCTGCAATTGGGAAAACAGCAACAGCTGTAGCAGTAGGACACGTCTTGAAGGATAATCATGGTTATCAAGTGGCCTTTGTGGATTTCAAAGAAATAAATGTGAGCTCCAGTGACATTAGAACAGATATTTACAAAGATATAGTTTTGGCCGTAGATTATGAATTGGAAAATGTGTCTGATTCATCGCAATTTATAATGCTGATGAAGAAAATAACAACATGTCCGACAGTTCTAATTTTTGACAATATAGAAAACATTTTGAACTCCACATCAAAGGCATTATTTTACAATGTAACAGAAATTTGTTTGGAAATTAACAAAATCAAAATCCTTACTACATCTCGAAAAGATTTTGATATCATTGGAGTGTCGATATATCCAATAAAACTGGAACCATTGCCAATATCACAGTCAACAGGTGTATTGGTTTCACTTTTGCCAGGACTTCAACAAAAGAGGTTAGTTAAGATAATAGCAGAGAAAACAGGTGGGATTCCTTTGTTGTTGGAAGTAGCTGCAAGTCTAGTACGTAGCAAGTACTATGAAGAAGCTGAATTACTGAATAGATTGGAAGAACTGCCAATATTAGTTGTTCTCAATGACACCAAAGACATGACAGAGTCTAGTAACTATTACAAGCTCCTTAAGATTTTATTTGATGGTCTTGATGAAAGTGTTCAATTCACCTTTATTGCTTTTGGAATGACTCCAGTCTTTTTGGATCCGACCAGTGCCGATGCTGTAGTGAACTTCAATTTCAGTGAAAAGGCTAATAATAACATTTATCCACTTGTAAACTATAATCTCTTGAAGACATTTGACTTGCCAAGTGGACGAAGATTGTATGGAATGCACCCTATTATCAGTGAATTCACCAGATTAATTGTTGAAGATAATCCAAGTTGGTCAAAGATGCAACATACAACGTGTAGAGCTTCTATGGTAAAAACTTCACCTCAATGCGAATCGCTTTCATTTATTATTGCAGACTACAGTGACATGACATTTCAGCAACCGATATGGGAAAATTCCGGTAAAGTACCAAAAATTCTGGTGCATAATGGATTGACTGAACGTGATGAGCGTAGGATTTTAATTGAAACAATGAGCATTGGACTTGAATTTTATAACCTTGGTGAATATACTAAATGCACAGATTTTCTACTCCAAGCAAGTGGACAAACAAAAGATAATACAGATATCCTACTTCTTAAGATTCTGGCAGTCTGTGCATTTAAAGCAACAGAAAAATACCTTAAACAAGGCAATTTAAATCTGAGCGCTGAGTATAGCAGTTTGTTGCTTAAGACGTTGAATTTGATCAAAACAGACCCGTGCGTTGTTGTCAATTGTCTATTTAATCTTGGCACCTTGTCGAACAACACGAGGTTTCACAAAGATGCTGCATTTTTTTTAAAAAGAGCCCTAACAAATTATCAACAACAATATCAACAACAGAACTGTAGCAAAGAAAATTTAGGATCTTTGGCTTTAAACCTTGGAAAGACCTTTTATAAACACAGGCAATATCAGGAAACCATAAATGTTTTACTTATATCAGTTAATCTACTGAAAAGCCATGATGACCAACTTGCAGCTGATCGGATACTTGCTGATAGTTATTATAAGACACAAAATTATGAAACCTGCTTTCAAATTCTAAGAAGAGTTCTTAACAGTTCTTATGAAGTTGATTATCAAAAACAAAAGCATGTCTTTCAAGCTCTGACAGAATTAGCCTACAAAGCAACTCATATATATCTCAATCAAAGTAACATTGCTATGGTCATCCAATTAAACATTTTGTCTCTTAATACACTGAAAATGCTAGAAACAGACTCATGTATTGTTTCATCACTGTATTTCCGTATTGGCCTTAACATAGGCATGTTATACAGACTTGCTGGTTTTGCTTTTAACCAGACTTGGGCATTACATGCTGCTTTTGCTTTTAACCAGACTTGGGAATTTCATAAACAGAATAAATGCGGTGAAGATGATTTGGGGCTTGTAGCTTATCACCTTGGGGAAGCCTACTTTTGCTGTAGCAAATATCACGATAGTATAGATATTTTACACATAGCTGTTGGTTTATTGGAAAAAAACATTACATATCAATTTATGGCTAATAGTTTGCTTGCTTTAAGTTACTATGAGATAGAAGACCATGAAACAAGTTACCAAATTGCAAGAAACATGCTCAGCAACAATTCTTTGAACACAATCAACAGCTTGTATTTGTATAAAGCAGTTCTTGTGAATCTGACAAATATTGTAACATTAGCAGCAATGGAATACCATATCCAAGGCAATTACAACCAAAGCATTGAATTTTACCAATTATCTATTGTGACATTGAAAATGTTAGATCCACACTCATGTTCAATTGCTTTGCTGTATTCTTACCTGGGCACAGTGCTCTATCATGTGCAGAGACATGCAGATGCAGCAATTGCTTTAAATAAGGCGTTGAAATTTTATCAATGGAAAGGGTGTGATAAAGAAGATGTTGGAGATGTAGCAATTGCCATTGGGAATTCTTTTTTTATGATTGGCCAATACTATAAAAGTATAGAGTTTGTACTTGGAACAGTTAACGTATTGAAGAAAAATCCTAATCATCGATTTGAGGCTAATTATATTATTGCTACTAGCTATTTTATGTTACATGATTATGAAAACAGTTTTGAACTTCTTAGGAAGGCCCTTGATTGTTCATATATACATCAAGTTGATCAGCTGAGGTACAAGCAGGAGCTTGAGATTCTGAGAAAGCTTGCAATAAAATATTCACAACCACATAAGGCTATTAACCTAAGCATTGAATATGACCATGTATACATGTATACATTTATCATTTCTTTTTCCTTATTCATTTTCTGTCTTATTTTGTCATTTAAAGTGTTTCAAAAGATTTTTAAATAGTACTACCAGGCTGATAATTAATATAACTTGTAGTAAATTATGCAATAGGCAAATTGTTTAACAAGTTTATCATCAGATAAGTGGCATTTACTGTAATTACTTGTCAAATACATGTATGTGACAGTAGGACCATGGAGGTATTATTGAGAAGGAGATCACTCGGCAACAGATCCCTTTGACACGACAAACCTATGTGTTCCCCGCTTTTGGATCGCGCGCGAGCGTATTACCCTATAATTCACATTTTTTCGTTAGCAACAACTTGGCAACGACATGCATTTATACGCTTCCAGCAGAGCAGTTGTGCAATAAAACGTTTGATTTTAACCCATTAAATATCTTTATAATGAACAATGTTCCTCTGATTAGATTTTTTCAGGCTTTTGGTATGTTATTATTTGTATATTTCAGGAACGGATTCTGTAAAATATTTATGTTAAAATTACTTCTGTGTTCATCATAATTTTGTCTAAAGATTGACTGGTTCGACTATAAAGCTAAGTCAGCGTAAAACTGAAAAATACTCAGATTTTGGATTCATTTTTCGAATAGTTAACCCTCGTTAACCCTAAAATGACTTAGTTTATTATAATCCTTAATCATTTATTAATGAATATCTGTTAAAATTAGAATTGGCGAATTTTGGCCAATTTATGAAAATTGAAGTTGAAATATACTATACTTTTATAGGTCATGTAAATGTTCTATTAAATTCGAAACTTTTCTTGGAGGAAAATATTAATATGTTTGATATTTTATGAGAGATAAATGTATCAGCTTCAAAATTGAAAAGATTGCGCAGCCATAGTGATTGACAGTATGTAGTGCGCATTGAGAAAAGAAGGTGCTGTCCATTTCGTCATGTTCAATTTTTTGGTCAACTATGCCTGCTGAAAATTTGATGGTGGGGAACACATGGGACTTCAAAGGCATCGCGCAAACGTTCTTTACGCGCTGCGGCAACTTTGATCTTGGTTCATTTGCATAGCGCTGCGTGCGCGTGGCTTTGCCGAGTGATCTTCTTCTCAATACCTCCATGGTAGGACATGTGGTTCGTAACAGTGTTGCTAGGTAATCCAGGTAGCTATAATTTGAGCGTGACGTGTGCATAATCGAGGGATGCCTTAGAAATACACCTGCCCTAATTTCATTTAATTAACAATAGTTCGTTAATTTATGCAAACATTGTGATGCGAGTTACATTGTATAGGAAATACAGTTAGGTTGGTCACTGGACAGAAAGATCCCTTACCCGTCGGATCGGCACCGTTTGTGTGGAAAGGCATATGTTAGCCAATGCGGAATGGTACTGCGTGTTGTGCGAGATACAACCTGGTACTCAGTAACATTGTTCCCTGGTAGATTGGTGTTATATTCTTCATCGTGGTTTTATGAGTATGTTATCATGCCGAGGTGTTAATCTGTCCAGTCACTCACGTAATTGTATATATTTTGAACCTGTGAGTAGACTTTTGAATTTATAAACTATTGCATTAGTAAAATGTGGAATAGATTTAAAC